ACCCACGACAATGTAGGCGAGTTGTGTACCTGCTTTACAGTTTTACTGTAAAGCATGCGACAGTTTTAGGCAAAAGTTATGTAGTGTAAATCGGCTTTAAATCGACCTCAAGAATATATTCACGAGCAGCACTGTGCAATAAATTTCCCGTCCGGGTTTACTGCACAGTCTATGATTTTTGCCGTCCACTAGACCAATGCTTAATATTGAAGACCTTATTCCAAATGTTCTCATTCAGTCACAGTCATCCTCGAGTAAGGGAGAGAAAGAAGGAATCTGTGAAAGAGCAAGACTACCAGGTGCAAGTTCGCGTGTTAGAATGTCGTCAGCTGGCTGGAACACAGCTTGATCCTGTGTGTACAGTAACTGTGGGAAACCAAAAGAAACATACGCCTGTGAAAGAACAGACGAATTGTCCTTACTGGGATGAGGTACATGATTATTGTACACCTTATATATTTATCATGTTTGAAGTAAAATTTCAAATCCAACTATTTAATGTACTGTATATGGCTACTGAGTCATGAGTGCTCATTCACATTCATTGACGGTTTTGTATATTTATTTTTGTTTTTAGTTCTTCGTTTTTGATTTCAAAATGCCATCTTCTGTCCTGTTTGACAAGATTATAAATCTACAGGTTGGTTTATATTGTACTTGATACAAGCTGACCATTCCGGTCCAATCCGAGATGACGTCATCAATTTTTCATCTCATCTACAGAATTTTGCCAAAAATGGACTCAGACTTGAAATCGTCATGCTCAAATTAGTCTATAGAGCGTTTGCACATGACGTCACAGTCGCCATGTTGATGTTCCAATTCAAAATAATGTTAATTAGACTCTTCTGTCTGGAACACCAACATGGCCGCCATGGCTTTTCAGCTTTTGTTGAGTTGGTTCCTGGGGAATGAGTGCAAATTAGTGTATACTGAAAATTTCACGATATTTGGATATTCAGGGCGCGAGTTTGGGCGTATTTCCAGTGGCAAATTCCAGTCAAATGTACAGGAAAAACGAAATTTTCAAAACGCCCGGAACTTGCGCCCTTAAACCCAAACATCGTGAAATTTTCGTTATAGACTAATTTGAACGTGAAGATTTTAATTCTGGGGTCAATTTCTGCCAAATACAATGAAGATGAAAATCGATAACGCGAACTCAGATCGGAGAATTAATTCATCGTAAAGCCGGTTTTCCACTAGGCGGAATTTCGCTAGCGGAGTGCAATTTTTCTTTGTCTTGTGATTTCTCGGGTGGAACTGATTAGAAAAGACAAGGAGAAATTCCGCTCCGCGCGCAAAATTCTGCCTAGTGGAAAACCGGCTTAAAAGCAGTGTTCATAAGAGTATTTACAGGATTTTACAAAATTGTGCTATTTCTGCATAATTATAGGTTTTCACCGGACGAAACCTTGTGTCTCAGGGTTCGTTGATTGGTTCCTTTAAGGTAGATTTCTTTCAGGATTTTCATGAAATTGATGTTTGACGTTGCTGTTTGCTGACGTTTGAGGACATAATTTCGGTGTTTATTTTTTATGTTTAGTTGGATGTGGGAACAGTTTATGCGCAAGTGGATCACAGATTTTGTCGTCGTTGGGCAGTATTAACAGATCCAGAAGAAACTTTAGGCGCATCTGGCGCTGGTGTCAAGGTACTGTATAGTAGAGTAATTTTGGATTCTTATTTCAAGGGTGTACTCCAAGTTTTAAACCTATATCAAGCGCCAGCGCTCTCCCCTTGATGAATAAAGTAATCTGGCGTCAGACAGAGTAAAGTAGTAAAGTAGGATGCAATGCAACTCAATGAATTAGTTCTGGATAATGCCATGCAAGATACTGTAGAGGACTGATCACCATACAGCTTTACTGTAAGGTATTTACTGTTTGCTTATACTGTAGGTATTAACTTGCTTAATGCTGTGTGTCATTTCCTTAGGGTTATCTTAAAGTGGATATAACGGTGCTTGGTAAAGGTGATCCTATCAAGGTAATATTTTAATAAGTAAATAGTAATGTGATTCGACCAGCTGCTCATGGCCATTCAGCCCTTGGCCTTGGAAAATGACGTCACAACACATAAATCTTGGGAACATACACGTCATCAATAACATCAATAACCAAGTATACTTCGAAAGAGCTCCAAACGATTTCTTTCATTTAACTGGCTTTTATACAATATACAAATTCAGAAAGGCAATTTTCTGGTGAATGTAGACAGTGGTTTCCTCTACTGTCGATAGTGTCCACCATTATTTTTGCCACTCATAATCGCGTGATATTTTCAGCGTGACGTAATGTTCTCAAGTATGTGACTGCAAAACCTAAACACAGTGTATACCGAGTAAAAGTATTAACATTAGTCTTTCTTTTTTTAGGAAGCGCCTGCGATAAAGGATAATGATGAGGATATTGAAGGGTTGGTTAAACGATTATATCCATGATGTTAACAAAATTCGTTTCGTGCGAAGAATCTGTGTGTTTTAAAGGCTGGTTCACATGCACTAGTGATTTTGTCGACAGCTGAGATTTTCTCTTCCTGACGGATGCGAATTAGTGAACTGAAACACAAACGTATAGAATCGCCCTTCGAATGTGCACATCTCTAAGTCTTCTGCGTATCAATAATTCAATCGCATCCGCCAGGAGGAGAAAAATCGCCAACAAAATTGCTAGTGTGAACCAGGCTTATAATTTTAATTGTTCTTTAGAAATTTGTTGCTGCCCGAAGGAGTTCCTGCTGAAAGACCTAAGGCTCAGATTGTTGTGAAGATTTACAGAGCGGAAGGATTACCTAAAAGTATGTGTTATTGATATGCAATAGATTTCATCAGGATTGTTTTTGGGCATCTTACTCGACCTACTAATGTTGAAGAATTTTGCAGCTGGAAATCTCGAGTGCAAATTGTATACATTTATTAGACCTCGAACCAGGTGCAGTTACGAAAAATGCAGCTAAAGACCCCCTGGCTTGAATCGAACCTGCGATTAGCCATTAGGTTAATAGGGATCGAACTGCTCCTGGTTAGGTCTTAATGTAATATTTAAAACATGAGCAGCAGTGTTTTATCAGATATAAAGATACGAGGCAAGGAAGTTTGTTGTTGTTTTGTTGAGGCAAAGCCGAGTATCTTTAGGTCTGATAAAAACACGCACTGCGAATGTTTTCAATTGCTTCAAAAACGATCGATCTGGTAAGTTCATTGGCGAAGTAATTTTCAAAAAATACGTTGTCTAAGTCGAGAAAATCAAAGTTAAAGTTTATGTAAATCAAGGGAAATCTCTATCACATATAAAGATACGACACGCTTATGATTTTTCTTTGTGTTTTCCTCATGAATTACTGATGATTTTTGAAAAATATATAAACATTTACACTAGAATTTCGATCTACAAATCCCTTTCATGACGTACCTTTCAAAATTTCATCACGCGTAGTATACACGAATTTCTCATTCATTGAGGGTGCTTTTGTTTTTAGTGAATTCAGGGCTGATGGCGAATGTGAAGAAAGCTTTTACTGGCGAGGTACGTATAGGCTGTCCTGTATCGCGACTAAACTTGTATCAATAAATGTTGTACGGAATGACCAATGAAGTACTTCTATTGATTTGTTCAATGTTTGAACTTTATTATTCTCTCAATTAATCGTTCAGTTTAATTGATCAGTTTGTTTCGTTTCTAATAATCGAATCAATAAATCCAGTCAAGTAATCTAGTCAATCAATACCTTCAATAAATCAGTTACTCAGTCCGTAAGTAAATTCAATCAATCAGTAATTCAGTCAATCAAGAAATCCAGTCAATCTAATTAATCAATCTAATTAAAAACCCAATCAATCCAGTCATTCAAAAATTGAATCAATCAATTAATGAACATCTCTAATTAATTAATTAATCACTTAATTAATCACTTAAACCATTTAAATAAACCATACGAAAATAAAATAACAACTCAAAATAAACCAAGGCATAGTCAGTCAAGGTATGATGGTTTAGAAACCTGACAAACTTCAAAGCCACAAAATAGAAGACCTTTGTTTGAAGTTGAACTGTTTACCTCACCATGCACAAATCCTTTGTCTCAACTTCATTAAATATTATTCATCGTGGTTGCACGTTTCATCTCAGCTATCCCTATTGGACGATTACTTTATTATGCGAAACTACAATGAGCTCAATCACCGTGACCGTGTACAAATTGGCTTAATTAAACTCAGACAAAAACATAACATAATGACTTCTGTTTAGTTTCAAGACCATCGTATCTTGAGATAGACTATGACCAAAATAAAGCTAACTGTAAAACGTTTAACAAATTAAAGTATATTCTAACTTACAGTACTCGGTACTAACCTATAATGTTTTGTTTTATTTTTTGTATTGCTTTCAAATGGATGTCTTTAAACATAGATGGTAATGTGCAATTAAAAATATAAAATAACTTTAAACTAAGCTAACTTCTTAACCTGTGTAGCCCTAGAAGAACTGGTTACGCAGGAGTTAAACCTGAACTACAATATACTACAATAAAATAAACTTAAACTAAGCTATATGATACATACATGTTAAATCTATTTTGTTCGACTAAAACTAAACTGAAATAAATAAGCTAAATTGAACCAAACTATATAAAGATAAACCTTTTTAAATAATTTAGCAATCCAATTTACATTTACTGTACAGTATAATCTAATCTAAGTTATCTAATCTATAGTAATTTATTCTAATCTGATTTCATCTGTTTCAATAAAACCAAACAAACCAATGATTTTATCTACAATGCTTATCAATTCTTATCTAAACCAAACTAAATCTTCTTTATTTAATATTTATATTTTATCAGCTCCGTAATTATGGTAATATAACGTTGTTTAAGTCTGTTCATGCAACTAATTGAAATCAAATTAAATTGAAATATTTTTCCAAGGTGGAGATTTAAATTTTAGAAAACCAAAAATATTTGTTTTTTTGTGAATATAGGTTAGAGATTTGGCTGACCCTTATGTCGAGGTTTCCTTTGCCGGACATAAAGTAAGTAGAATACCCACGTGAACTTAAGTTGTAATCTTTTTATTGAATGTCGTTATTTACACTGTGCATGTGTTTGGTTTTAGCAAAGAACATCAGTAAAGAAACACACGTATGAACCTGCTTGGAATGAACAAGTCGTCTTTGCAGAATTGGTGAGTTATTGTATTTTTTTTATCTTAAAACTGGTTTACACTATAAAAGTTTCTGTGATCACAGTAGGAATTTAGCATTATGTAAATTCTAAGTTTTGAAAGATAACTTTGATAAGTCTGAACCAGCTTTAAAAATTCACTTTATAATTATAAACGCCATATAATAGTTTTAAATATCTTCAATTCTGTTTAGTTTCCTCCACTCTGTCGACGCATAAGATTGCAGTTAAAAGACAGGTATTGCTGCACATTTCATTTCATTTCTTTAGTTTATCTGAATATCTGTTTTCAGTATGCATTGCGGTCCGAATTCGGTTGACAACATGCATGTAATTTCCACGGTTGAAGGCTGCAAACATTAGCCCTTGTAATCTAAAATCTCTTGATTCAAATGTATACAGCTATTTCAATTAAGGTTGTCCCCCGAGCAAAGCGGAAAAGTCGAATACGAGCGCGAAAGGCTGCTGGGAATCGCTAATAAATGAATGGATTTATTAGCGATTTCCAGCAGCCTTTCGCGCTCGTACAGACTTTTCCGCTTTGCTTGGGGGGGGCAACCTTAATTGAAATAGCTGTATAATGGCCATCAGACTTTCCTGGTTGTAAAATATTGTAAAAGCTTAGTTACGACGCTAACCACATCAGTCATTCAAATAATTTGTATTAGTATACCATAATGCTACCTGGACGCACCGCAATACATATACTGCATATTTTCATAGTGATTCGGTCTCAGACGAGGTAATCGGAAGTCATTTCATCGACCTATCGGCGATATCAAATGATGGTGCAAACGGTAAGCATGGTTCGATGTTTTCTAAATGTATGGTTATTGTATTCCCCCATCCTCGTACCCATGATCTTTGGAGTGTGAGAGAAAATAGCCTGGGTACGAGATTGGCATTCCCCATGCATGTACAGTACTGCTCTGAAATAATACTGCATGTAGTGGCATAACTAGCATTCTAATTGCGTTCAGAGCGCGTTGTCCCGGTTCGATTGGGAAGAAAATGAAGCTTGTGAAACGCAATTTGGAATGCAAATGGTATACGCAATGATACGTGGAACGTAATTTGGAACGGAACTGGAACGCAAGCAATGAAACACAAATTGAATTTAAATCGAACGCAGTTCGTAACGCATTTGGAACGAAATTAAAACGCAATTATAGCAATGCGTTCCTAACGCGACTTTTTGAAAACTATTTCTGAGCAGTACCGTCATGTGCATGTTTCAAATGTAGCTCGTCTACTGTAAAATATTCATTTGAAAACAAAACACTTTTTTTATTTCATGTCACATGCAGAAACCAAATAATACTAAAAACGGTTAAATCTGACAATATACGAAGGACCGAAAGCATATACTTAATCATATTCTCAAGGAAATTAATTACTATAACACTCACTATATAACAGTATAAGTAACAGTAACAAAAACCATATTAAACAAAACGTAAAGTTCTTAACTGATTAAGGATCAAAATATCATTCAGTATGCATAAATTTACTTCATTTTACACTAAAACAAACGTCATGTAACTATATAATGACGTGTTAAACTAACATGCACTTGTTTGCACATAACCGTGTACTAACAAATAAACAGCTACAAAACAACACACCTTGAATTCTTCGAAGCTGAAGTAAACGGAAGTTAAACGATGTCATCTGAACCTAACTTTCTTTCCACAAAATCGAATGACGGCGAACATTCTATGGACTGAGTTGTGTCATGTTTCTTTATGTCTTTCTCTCCGTTGTTAATGTCATCGTGCATTTTCCAGGTCTTTCTCTCAGTTGTTTTCAGTATCAATCCGTGTTGAACTCCAGCTTGAATTGTCCATATAGTCTTATTCTCTATAAATTTCATCGTGCTTCTACTTTGATGTTATGACTTATGTTGAGAATTTCTCTTCTCAATTTCTCTGTCATCCACTGTTTGTGGTTGTATTTTATATTTTGAATAATAAATACGGACATGTTGTCTCTCTCAAGAGCTTTGCTTCTACTTCACGATATATGATGACGACACGGGACTTTGCTTCATATTTGTGGAGCTTTAAAGAATTTTCCTTCCAGAATATAATTCGTTTTGTCTTCGTTTCCTAGCACAGAAATGTTGAATTCTGAACTGTCACTGTTTCTCTCCAACTTGGTTGGTTTTAATTGCACATCATTCACATTAATATTTTAGATATATCTCTAATTTGCACAACTAATTCGCACTGTAAATAATTTGCACTCTTTCTGGTAATATAAGGACTAATAATAATTAACCTGGCAGCCTCGATACAAATTCCTCATTTAATCAAACATGGTAATATTTTAATGGAGGTGGTATGGGCTGAAACCTTCGCGCTTGCATGGTTTTATCAGGGCGCAGTAGTTCTATTAAATAGAAACTCGGTACACAATTATCTATCCCGTAATGCACTATGGAGGAGTATAATGAATTGAGCATGTAAAGTTAATTTGTGTGTTGTATATGGATATTTTCTCGAGTAGGGTGGAATGGTGATCTGTATCGACCTGTATCTACAGGAAAATCACACAAGAAACGGAAGGGTTTGTAGCCACACCTTGCACCTAAATTTATTAGAATTGTTATGCAAAATATAGGCACACGTGTTTCACTCCTTTTGGTATATTAAGGTTTTCTTCAGTGACCTTATGTACGAATGTGCTTACTGCAAGGATACTTTATACCCTTATGTTTCTCTGTTCGTCGTTATTACAATTGCTAATATGTCAAACTATGCGTTTCAGTATTATTCTTCTGTCTAACATCTTTCGAATGCTTTTGTCTTCTTCAAATTTCATCAAAAGAAAACCTAATTTTTTTCATCAACTATACACACAATGGCATAATGCCGTAATGCCAATTAAATTAAGGTTAATTTGAAATCTCAGTGTATATCGTATAACCTGACTAAAGTTCAAAGCAACCTATAAATTGAATACCCGTGAATGTTGCTATAATTATGCCTAAAATGCATGGTTGATTATTTTAAAAATATAATTGCACTGTTAAAATAGCGTTCTTAAATTTATAAAGATACTGTATTGATCTGCCTTTAAATAATCCATTCCTGATAATCTATTCTCTAAGCAAGGTTAGCTAAATTAAACTTCAACTGCTGTGTCTTTAAGTCTAAACCATCTCTTAGAGTACACTCAGTGCAATCACAAAGACCATCTTTGGAAGCTAATTTTTAATTCCATTTCTTGTTTAGTCTTGTATACTGACTGTGATTTTCTTATTTTCTCTTGTTTCTGTTTTGACCACTTGACTGGATACTATACGTCACTTGCACATCACATGTATAACTTACAGCTGATCGACGTTCATCGTCAGCTGATGTTGGTAATTATTATGTCTTGTTTATATTACGACTAATTAGTTGGTAAGAGCGGTCGAATTTCTAGTACGAATGGGTTGGGGTATAAAACCTTAAGTCGAAATTATTATTGTTGTTTATTATTAACATCACCACCATCATCATTGCCACCATCATCATCACTCACCATCATCATGATCATCACCCACCATCATCATCACCCACCATCATCATCACCATTACTACTACTACCATCATCACCCACCATCATCACCCACCATCATCACGCACCATCATCACGCACCATCATCACCCACCACCATTACTACCACTACCATCATCATCACCCACCATCATCATAACCATCACTACTACTACTATCATCATCATCACCTACCGTCATCACCCACCATCATCACCCACTATCATCACCCACCATCATCACCCACCATCATCACCCACCACCACCATTACTACTACTACCATCATCATCATCACCCACCATTATCATCGTCATCGCCATCATCATCGTCATCATCACCACCATTACTACCACTACCATCATCATCGTCATCATCATCACAACTATCATCATCACCACCAATATCATCATCACCCTCCATCATCACCATTACTACCATCATCATCACAATTACTACCACCATCATCATCATCACCCACCATCATCATCATCACAACTACATCACAACTATCATCATCACCACCATTATCATCATCACCCACCATCATCACCATTACTACCACCATTATCATCATCATCTACCATTATTACAGTACCACCACTTTACGAAGTCGATTGGAGATGTGAAATGGAGCTACTAAAATATCATATGATAAATCAACATTGCTAGAGACTCTTACATGGATATGTAAACTTTCAATAGCAAACTTTTGACAGTAACAGGTCATGTTAATTAATGACAAACACAATTTCGACTCATCTTCATACAGTACTCCAATCAACTTCGATATGTTGTTATACTCGTAGTTTACGTTATTATTATTCATGTTTGTATTTGATTGGCTATTGTTGTGGTTACTGATGTATCCTGGGAAATATGTGGGTATATGCGATATGAACAGTTCTCTATCTTGCCTACGAAACCGGTAAATATTAAACTTTTTAAACATAAATTAAATAAACATAGATTAAATAAACATAGATTAAATGTTAATTTAAATTCAACAAAACATATTATATGCAACAAATTGTTTTTAAATCGAAGTTACTTACAGTACTAGGAATTATTAAATGACGTTACTTGATAAAAAAATATAAAACATAAAGTGATAAATCCCTAGTAAATTATTTAACTATATTAAAAGTGTAAATTTTATAAATGTCTTATCAATCACTATTTTTAAAAGAAGAATTATAAAATAGTTATAAAATAGTATTTCAAAATAGAATTCTTAAATATTTTTTGTTTCATCAAAAACATTAAACGAGGTTTAGCTTCTCCTGTAAAAAAATAACTAAAAAATTAATATCTGGTGAAAAACTTAAAAACACAACTGGTAACTGCAAAAAAATATTAAATATAATTTAAGTAAAGGCAATTTATTGGAAAACATTATCGTCAAAAAAACCCTGGGGACATCATGACATTAAACAACGTGTAGTTGATTCAGTGTTTTAAGAAAGCATTTGTTCACATATTAATGGTTTGTTTAGCCTAAGCTCACTTCCCTAATGTCTTTGTATAGGTTTTATGCCGACGTTTGGTCCTTGCTGGGTTAACCTTTATGGTTCGACGAGGGATTATTCTGTGTTTGATGAGCATAACGATTTGAACAATGGTTTGGTAAGTCATCATAGACGAATTTCCATGGTTTTCCAAAGTTGTTTTTTTTTTGGGGGGGGGGGCAATTGCACGCCCCCTGTCCTCCTGTCTTTAGGATTCCCAATAGAATTTAGAGTAGGAGGCTCTTTGATTAGTACTTTGATTAGTATGTGGGTATGTGGTGCCACGCCCTTTAGGAGGGGAGGGTGTGTGTGTTCGAGGCCGTCTCCCCACGAGGCCGTCGTCTCCCCACGAGGCCGTCTCCCCATGAGGCCGTCTCCCCATGACTGTTGTAATAGTTGCCTCTGACAATTACTTAATTCTGTATAGGGTGAAGGAGTTTCGTACCGTGGACGTCTCTTAATGTCTGTACAAGCTGAAACTGGTGAATCTGCATCAGACTCAGGAATAAAACAAGTTGAAGTCGAAGCGGCTGCACCCATCTCAGAGGTATGGTTTTGAACGTTCTCTGCTCATATGGTTGACATCCTTGTTCGGTCTCACCCTACACGTTGTAACAAACCTGCAGCAGACTTGCAGCAATGCTGTTCCAACAACTTGTCAACAGGATGTGTTTGTTCGCACTGCTTGTTCCTAGCTTGTTGACAACTTGCTACGAGGTTGTTGAAGTCCGATACAGTCATGATATAACAATATTGTTACAACCTTCAACAAGTCTATAGAACAACCTTGCAACAAGTTTGATAATGCCATCAAGTTGTTAACAGCTTGTTCCAATCAGCAACTAGGAACAAGCAGTGCGAACAGAACACCACTTGTTGACAGCTTGTGAACAGATTTGTAACAACTTGTTTGCAGACCTGGAACAACTTGACGCGTTTTTACGTGTGTAGTGCGATTTTTACATCTGTTGAAGGGTATATAGGTTTAAATTTGGTGCGTCGTCAATTTTATGAGTTGCGTCTAATGCGTTCCGTGATTGGATGTGGGGTGTTTCGTTTTAGACGGCTGCCGGTAAAGAAGAACAGTTTCAATTATTTGCTTGTCTCTACGAAGCTTCTATGATTGACCGCAAAGTTGGCGACAAAAATATGCAATTTGAAATGACAATTGGTAAGTTTGAGGGGCATGAGAAACGATTAACCTATACTGATTAATTGCTGAGAAATTATCCTTGAACTTTCAAAAAATGAAGAGATTTTAGATGGTACGCCAAAGAGAAAATAATGTCTGAAGTTCAGTAAAGCTTTGCTTATATTGCTGTATTATTAACTGTTATTTTGTGTTTCTCAACCGCGAGATACATTTAGAAAGGTTGCTAACTGTGTAAGCTACAAAACAAAGCTAAAACAAAGTAATTTTGAGAGGAACGCCAAAACGATTTTAGGTTTTGAACACTTTTCATCGCAAATACGTGACGTTGAAAAAAAATTGCCTTTTAATTCTTCTTCTAGGAAATTACGGTAATCAACTGGACAGAACGGATGAAAAAGTGGCGAAAGAAGTGGAAGAAAATCCTTTCCTAAATTCACTTTCCCTTCCTGCTCGTCCAGTCACAAACAACCGTCAGTATTACCACATTCCCTGGGATGATTCCAAACCTTGTCTTCATATTAAGTTTCCATGGCAGGATCACAGACGACGCTTGTATAACGCCAATATTATCTATAAAATTTGTGAGCGTTTTGTAAGTACTGTTAAGTAGTTACTGTTCGGTCATTACTTATGGTTAGACTTGCTCCAAGTCTCTCTTTCATTGTCATATCGATCCACTATAGTGTACATTACATGACGTAGCACGGAGAGGCGGAGCGAGAAAGAGAGACTTGTCAACCTCGGAAAATCTCTGTTCAAAACTGAACCGAAAATACAAGACTTGTTTTATTTGTTTCCTTCAATTTCTTTCTGTGTTATTTACTATAATGAACTCATGTTATTTACACTGTGCTAGATCAATACATATAAACACTGACAGAAAACAATTAAAGCAGGTCTTGCATTTTCGGTTCAGTTTTGAACCGAGATTTTCCGAAGTTGACAAGTCTCTCTTTCTCGCTCCGCCCCTCCGTACTACGTCATGTAATGTACACTATAGTGGATCGATACTATATGACAATAAAGAGAGACTTGGAGCAAGTCTATACTTATGGCGGGGGGTGGCACTGAAGAGAAAAGGGTTGGGTAAAAAAAATTTTGAGTGAGTAATATAGGTTGGGTAATGAAAAACGAAACAACTCAAGGGTTGAGTAATAAAAAATTATTGTCTTTTCCAAAGCATGACTCACTCATGCTTTTCCAAAGCATGACTCACTTGCAGTCTTGCACATGTAATTCCTAATACTGTATGTAGTAGGCATATACCTAAAGGCCCATTAAATTAAAGGCCCATAAAATTATCCACGGACAGAAAATTTTCCTAAAATATCCTTGTGAAAAGGTGAAAATTTTTCAACTTCAAAATTTTTTTCCTGAGTGGAAATGGGCCTTAATGTAGAAAAATGTGAGAACAGACAGAATCGGCTAACATTTGTTTATAAACCCATTATGAATCTAACTATAGGAAGATGGTTTGGTCGACATCCTAGAGAGAGTCAAAATGGATCTACCCGATACTTACAAATGGCTGAGCAGAGTTCTTGGGGAACTTATAAATGGTTGCACGTAAGTTTTGACTGTATTTGAACAAGACTAAGGACGTTAAAGCATAGACCGGCTAAGCATGCTTACTCTATGTGTGACAAGCCTGTGGCGTATTTTGATGCATTCTTGTGTAATACATTGCAGAAATTACCTCAACTTAATGAAGTCCGTCCCTGCGGCTGCTCACATTGGCAGAACGAAACTGGACCAGGAAAGATTAAAACTCTGCAATTATGAAATTGTAAGTACAGTAATACGTTGCAATAAAAGATTTGATGAGATTTGCTGTCAATGATGTCTTTGCTGATAACTGTGTCATGTGTATTTGCAGGAAGCGGTTATGCAGGCGGCCTCAGACCTCAAAGCGATTTGTAAAGACGATACGCACACGAAAGAAAATCTGAAGACTGCCAATGGATTACTGCAAAGATTGCTTAATATTGCTACTGAGGTACACACAAAAATCTCACGTCTTGTAACAAGGTGGCCAACAAGTTGTGTTCGCACTGCTTGTCCCAAGTTGTTAACAAGTTTGAAACAAGCCTGTTAACAACATGTAACAAGCTTGATAGCATTATCAGACTTGTTGCAAGGTTGTTCCAACAAGTCCGATACAGTCATGATATAACAATATTGTTACAACCTTGTGTCATAAAACTTTAACATTCTTGTTATATCATGACTGTATCAGACTTGTTAGAACAACCTTGTAACAAGTCTGATAATGCCATCAAGCTTATTACAAGTTGTTAACAGCTTGTTCCAAACTTGTTACAACAACTGGGAACAAGCAGTGCGAACACAACTTGTCGACAGCTTGTGAACAGATTTGTAACAACTTGTTTGCAGAACTGTAACAACTTGTGCGTTTTTACGTGTGTAGACGCTGTTGAAATTTGCTCTGAATCATTGATATGCATGCATAGCCCGATGTCATGTTTACACACGCTCAACATTTATACAGTAGGCGTTCACTCACAAGAGTTCTATATATTCACAACAACTCGTATACTTTGTTTTATCTCAGCCCCAGGACAGCCTTCCTGACATCTTCATCTGGATGTTATGTGGCAATAAACGCGTGGCGTACACGCGTGTACCTGCTCAACACGTGTTGTACTCGCTCGTGGAAGAAGAGCGCGGCAAAGACTCGGGACGAATGCAAACACTTTTCCTCAGGGTAAGCGAAATATCGCATTGCATATAAATAATGGTCAACAATAAAATATTCCTGATAAGTAAACGTACTATATGCTAATATGTAGGTTATTCACACAAGGTCGGACATAATTATCAACATTTTCACAAGCGTATAAACTACAAACTACTACTTGTACCGCTCCATAAGAGAAACGTCTTTTGAGAAAGTTAGTCCTTGACTGTATCTTGTGTTATTTCCAGCTGCCTGGTAAGCGCGGAGAAGGTCCTAAAGGCTGGGCGATTCAGTCCAAACTCAACATCATGATTTGGTTGGGATTACACAAACACAAGAAGGATTATCTGAAAGACGCACCGAAAGGATACGATATGGTAGGCCAATGTTTCCACTTATTTTACTAATATTCATACTATATCCTTTTTGCTCCAAATTCTAGTGTCATATGAGGTAATTAATATTATTTTTATCATTTCTAGCCACGAAATGCACATAAGCTGATGGCTCCTCCTCCAAATGACCTGGTTTATAAAGGTTTGTTTTATATTTATATCACAGTGGAACTCTGCCTTACGACCACCTCGTTAATACGTTTACAGTCACCTCTTTATTACGGCCACGATTGAATACCCTGAAAAAAAACCTTATAAAAATACCCCGTTGATATGGCCACCCCGTTATAACACGGCCAAATTTTTCGCACCGTCCTTGACCGTATTAATGGGGTTCCACTGCATGTACTGCAGCGTCCCGCTGTTTTGTGCCTCTGGGTACAAAATTTGCTCCTGGTCTTGCACAGCTAAACAAAAGCTACTGTAAACGTGCACCAAGCTTGTAGCTATATGCATTCATGTATTCTCTATTATTTTCTTCTCAATAGTTAAACAGAAGTTCGTGTTACGATCTCATTTGTACCAAGCTCGAAGTCTAATAGGAAGCGATGCTTCAGGATTGTCAGGTATATATTCTAGGTTTCACTATTTATACGTGGTTTGAAAGTTTGTTTTGGTTTCCAGTGTAGGTAATGACAAGGAGAACTTTGACGTTTCGAGCGAAGGCCCTTCGAAACGTCTAAGTTCTCCTTTTATTTTTCAGGTAGTTGTATCCCTATCAATCCGAAGCTTTCTTATGTTTAAACAGCCATCTTTCTGAAGCAGCCACAATCACACAAATCTTCCTCTAATAGTTTGCCTGTATCAAGCGGCTAATTTTGCACTAAACTATATTAAACCAAGCAAAATTCCAACCAATGCGGTTTGTTAATGGATTTATATCATCTTTAATACAATGTTATCTTATTACTAGATGCTTTTGCCAAAGTTATTTTCACTCATTTTATCGCCGAGACTCGAGTAATCTGGGAGACAAGAAGCCCGACATGGGACCAGACCATTATCTTCGAAGATATTTATCTCTGGGGCGATGTCAATGAAATTGCTGTTAATCCGCCGACGATTGTGCTCGAGATTTTTGATAAAGATATCGGTGTATGTATAGCTTGTCATAATAAAGTCCAGTTCAACATCTTGGTCCTACATCATCCTATTCCTACATTATTTCTACATCCCTACATCCCTGTGCATCCACACCGGGCAAGCTGAAAAGTTTGCCTGACCACTGTGGGAATCGAACCCGCGACCTTTGGGATACTAGTCCAATGCTCTATACCAACTGAACTACGAGGTCAAGTTCAATCGAGTTGGTCGACTAGTATCCCAAAGGTCGCGGTTTCGATTTCCACCATGGTCAGGCAAACTTTTCAGCTTGCCCGGTGTGGATGCACACTCAGAGTAACATCGCAATCATATTCACCTGAGTACATATAACCAACACACACGAAATGTATGTAATAATAACATTGTCGGGCTTAGGTAAATTCTAAGTTTTGAAGGATTTGTATAAGAAATTTTTGAGAGAACTGACTCAGTCTTAAACACTGAGTCAGTCAGTTCCCTCAAACATTTCTTACAAATCCTTCAAAACTTAGAATTTTCCTAAGCAAACTTGAAAGGTTTGAACTTTTAATATTCAAAATTTTCTTCCAACATTTTTGGACCTATATTGAATTCTTTGGGAGAGTTTTAGGATGCTCTATCCTCCAAGTGACATAGGAAAATGTATTTGCTTGATATAGTGAAACGACTTTAAACACCTAACGATTTTATTTGTGACGAATGTGAAAAGTTTAATCATCTCTTTTCATTAATATTCTGGCGTCAAAATTGTCCGAATTCAAAAAGGATGTTCTATCCATCTTAGTTTTGAGATTAGGGATTCGATTCCTCTACGATATCCACGTATCTTTACTGACTGTTTAGGGTGAATCGGAGTTCATTGGTCGTGCTCTGGCTCGACCTATTGTAAAAATGGCGTGTGAACCGTACGAGAAACCGTTCTTCCCGCCCGCCTTGGAGTGGTTCCAGATACTCCGTGGTGAAGAGAAGGCCGGTGAACTGCTAGCAGCTTTCGAATTACTGCAGGTAACTATGGCTACACGTTTCTTTGGGACCTTGAGAAAAAATACAGGCAAAAACTTTAATAACCTTTTTTGTAGTGGAATCTATACCATTTTCAAACTTTTCTCCGCAACAGCTTGTGATGACTAGTGGTTATTACCGGAGAAAGTCTAAACTAAACTGTATTGATATAGGATGACTCTCTCAGTCCTAAAATAGATGTCACTCAATCCCACTATAGATGTCGTTGTTCTTACAGGTGACTGATGGTACGACACATATGCCACCGGAAGTTGAGCCTGTCAATACCTCCGATGGTCCCATATGCCCGGTACCTGAAGGTATAAGACCTGTCATGAAGAAACACAGAATCGAGGTAAGTGGTACCGGCGTTTTCCCCTCTCGTAGTTTAGAGCGCTAGAATGGATGTCTTGTTCACTTAATACTTGCCCAAAGAAGAAACAATGTTGCAGAAACATTCCGATGCTTTCCCAAAAGGTGTCACCAAAGGTGTCCCTTTCCCACCCTTGGAAAGATTGTTGCGGAAATAAATTTATGCAAAAGTGTTTCCCATCTGGCCATTTCATGACCAGGTCTTTGTTACGTGAATAAACTATGTACAACACTGAGTTCTGCTTGTTCTTCGTTTCCTTTATTTAGAGTCGGGCCTTGTACATCGTGTCCATCATCTTGCATCATCCTTCATAATTCCAATATCTCATCCATAATCTTCATATTTTTCCATCCCTCCATCTTATCTTTTGTCTTCGTCTGTATCTCTTCCCTTTATTTAAAGGTCAGGCCTTGTTGTGTATCATCTTCCTTCATCTCTCCAATCATTCTCCCCAAGTCCAATATCTCATCCATAATCTTCTTAATTCCATCCCTCGATCTTATCTTTTGTCTTCCTCTGTATCTCTTCCCTTTATTTAAAGGTCAGGCCTTGTTGTGTATCATCTTCCTTCATCTCTCCCCTCATTCTCCCTAAGTCCAATATCTCATCCACAATCTTCTTAATTCCATCCCTCCATCTTATCTTTTGTCTTCCTCTGTATCTCTTCCCTTTATTTAAAGGTCAGGCCTTGTTGTGTATCATCTTCCTTCATCTCTCCAATCATTCTCCCCAAGTCCAATATCTCATCCACAATCTTCTTAATTCCATCCCTCCATCTTATCTTTTGTCTTCCTCTGTATCTCTTCCCTTTAGTTAAAGGTCAGGCCTTGTTGTGTATCATCTTCCTTCATCTATCCCCTCATTCTCCCTAAGTCCAATATCTCATCCACAATCTTCTTAATTCCATCACTCCATCTTTTCCTCTCACAGGTTCCTTCCAAGCTCTCGTAGCTTTTTATCGTCCATCCTATTATTTATAACTAAGTTCTGCGCTGCTCAGCAAATATTAGAAACTTACAATGCTCCTTCTTCACTAATTTTACCATCAATCATTGCTAGGTGTTGTTTTGGGGTGTTCGTGAGATGAAACGTTTGAATCTACAAACAGTCGATCGTCCCCAAGTGGACATTGAGTGTGCAGGTCGTGTTATCCAGTCTACAGTTATCGGAAATGCCAGGCGTAATCCGAACTTTCTGAATCCAGTGGATTTCTTTGATGTGGTATGTGGTATCATTGATTATTCTCTTATTTGTACGATGTATGTGTATGGATTTTTCCAAATGATTTTCTTGAATAAAAAAGAATAAACTTGTACGGGTTTTTGGTGGATCATTATGGAATATGTCATATAAATGAGTTAGCACTGTATATCAAGAAAACAGAATTATCTCAGTAAAGGAATAATTTAACAAAAATCAGTAAAATGTTACGAGACAATATTAATTTCCGTCATGTCATGGCTGTAAAATCGGCGATCTTTGTTTTCTTTTGCGACTTGTTCTTTGGGTGTCAGTTTGATAGTTCTAAGGGTTATTTCATCAACTCTACAAATATTTCCATTTTAGGAACTTCCAGAAAACGAACGTTATTGTCCTCCGCTGACCGTACGTGTTCGTGATTGTCGTACATTTGGTCGATTCTCATTGGTTGGCACTCACGTCCTTAACTCGTTGCATCGCTACCGATATCCCAAGGCGGGAGAACCCATCGAGAAGGCTTCGGTCAAAGATGTCACAGGTAACAGTGTTAGGGTTTTCTCCTGCATTAACACTGGATCAATAAGAGATCGGCGCCGATTATCGGCCTTGCTGCACTTATGTACTACTTACAACGCGGACGTGAATGTTGTAAATGGTTTGTGAAATGTCTTGATGAGAACATGCGTATTCTTCAAAAATGTTCAATAAATGAATGATATTCAGTGAGAAAATTGAACTTATGTTAAATTAAACTAAAATTTGAGTTTATGTAAATCGGCATGATTTGTATCAGATATACAAACTCCTTCACGGTCATGATTTCTTTCATGTTTTCTTCATGAATTATTGATTAGTTTCACAAATTTAACTTACTGAATAGTTTAAAACTTATTATTTTGTGTATGTTGGTGTTATGTACTCAGGTGAATATGATGTTTGTGATGTTACTCTGAGTGTATGTCCAATTCCAACTAGATCGTCTGTTACAGACTTAAAAGTTCCATCAGTTAAGACCACGCAAGCAAAATCCAAAATTTCCTTCAGTGGTGCAAGTTTATTTAATTCTTTACCTTCCGAATTAAAAGATATTGAAAATCACTCAATTTATTCCTATAAAAAGAAGCTCAAAACCAACTTTATTCAATTGAATTATGAAGTAGATCACGTTAATAAATCCCGCTGCATCGATTGTAAGCATATTACTCATTGTCAATGTTACTCTCAATAGGATTTTCTTTTTATATATCACTATTAGATATCGAGGGCCATTGGGAAGAATACTATATTAAGTAATCAATGTAATCCCTCATTAAATAAAGTTTTATTATTATTATTATTGTATCCACACCGGGCAAGCTGACCAAGTTAGCCTGGCCACGGTGGGAATCGAACCCGAGACCTTTGGGTTACTAGTTTAAAACTGATAGAGCTTTCCATTATCAACGTAGAAGAACCACAGACTGATCCAAACGCCCCAGCACAGCCACAAGATGTTGCCGTGAATATTGATGATCCAGCTATTGGCGAAGATGCCCCGGAGAACCCCGAAGCTCAGGTACAGTTGTGACAAATATCCTTTTGAAGTTGCTAAAGAACACAAAGGCTGCAAGCAGGTCGTACAGTATGAAACGTACGAACAGAGAGGTTTCGGTCAGCATGTTTCTCCATAATTGATATCCGTTTCCCCGCGGTAAACCATGGTCTACACGTAACAGACAACGGATAAGGGTGTTTTCTGTTTACTGCTTGTAGGACGAATAAAATGCTTCAACTTTACCTTACCTAAATAAATCAATGCACATTTGCTCGTCAAATTTTCCCCAAAGCTATGGTGAACCTCGACAACAAAAGTTACTATTCTCTGATCGGTTTTCGTACTCTTGAATATCTTGCATTTCTTAAGTTACAAGTCGATAATTTTTACGTGAGAGCGCCTAGCTTTTGGAACGTTTTCCCTAGTGATATTCGTGACACTTCAAGATCACTCTTCATAGTCTATCAGTGAGGTCATGTTGTTGACGATCAAATAGCCTAGGGAATTAGTTTTATCATGTAAATTTATTTCATGACGAATTATGTATGGGACCCCGTTAGTGGAGATTGCTTCTGTGGTCAGTCCCTGCCTGTGTTGTATGTAATATATGAACAACGAGAGCGAGTGTTTCACCGGGATATCCAAACACGAGAAAACAATGTATGAAAACACGAGCGCGAAGCACGAGTGTTTTCATACATTGTTTTCGAGTGTTTGGATATCCCGGTAAGACACGAGCTCGAGTTGTTTATATGGCTTCTCAAATGAATCGAGACGTAACAGAATGTTTTCGTTTGCTGATTTGAATAGAATTCGTAACCAAGCATAACGTAATTAGGAATTCTATTCAAGTAATTTTGCATGCGTAATTAAGATACTTGATGAAAACACTAGTGACTTTCATCAAGTTTCACCGGGTTATCCAAATGGCATCTTGTGATCAAATAGGTGATTATCATTGGCTGAAATGCTCATGAATTATTAACGAATTTGAGAAGTAAATTTTGTCTAGTCTAATTTATGTCTGTTATGTTTGGCGAATCTTGTAAATAAATAAACAAAGTATCCAGTTTACGGGTACGGGTATATCACCGTACTCGTATCACCCGTACTCGTAAACCGGAATCGGGTATCTTAACCTCTCTAATACCAGCTGGTTGTCGGTTGGATATGTATTTAAGATCTGACCTAAACTTGTGTCTGTCTTCAGGATCCAGGCGGCGGTGGTGGTGGTGGAGGTGGTGCTGGTGGTGACAAGAAGAAGAAAAAAGAGGATAAAGAGGAAGAAGAGGACGACAATGAGGATACTCTGGATTGGTGGTCACGATATTATGAAACTATGAAGTTCATTGATGCTGAGGCTGAAGATAAAAAGAAGGTTAGTATGGTGTGGTATATAATATTTCAAATCCCACTATGAGGACTGGACTAGATTTCAAGTTCGAGCAATTTGATTTCAAATCTAGTCCAGAAAGAATTGGGGGATTTGAAATGACATCTCGTACGAATAAATCACTATTTAAAGTGAGGTGAATTAATTTTGATCCAGTCCTAGGACTTGATCAGTATACTTCACCAGGTATTCAGTGTTATCATGTTAGCAAAATAAAGCAATATAGTTGGCTAATTTTCTTATGAATTATTAATGAGTTTGAGATGATGTGGTATGGTATATATGGTATGGTATGGTATGGTATATGGTATGGTATAGTTGGTATGGTATAGTTGGTATGGTATAGTTGGTATGGTTTGGTTGGTACAGTACGGTACGGTACGGTATGGTATGGTTTACTATGCCATGGTATGGTATGGTATGGTTTACTATGCCATGGTATGGTATGGTATGGTATGGTATGGTATGGTATGGTATGGTATGGTATGGCCTGGTATGGTATGGTATGGTATGGTATGGCCTGGTATGGTATGGTATGGTATGGTATGGTATGGCCTGGTATGGTATGGTATGGTATGGTATGGTATGGTATGGTATGGTATGGTATGGTATGGTATGGTAAGTAAGGGAGGTACATTGGATTGGGGTCGAGATAGTACGAAACTATGATTAATGGTGATGCTGAAGATAGGAAGGTACAAAGGTCGGTCGGTCTGCCAGCAAGTCTGCGAACAAGCCAGCCAGCACGAAAACAAGTAGAAAACATATATAGTACTTTAAAAACCTAACAAACTTGTGGTGTCCCTCCAGGAGGAGAAGCGGAAGAAAGAAAAGAAGGAAGCAGAGAAAGAAGGAAAGGATGATAAGAAAGATAAAAAAGATAAAAAGAAAGATAAGGTTGTTCAACCTGAAGTTTCCCAGAGACCTGAACGAAAGAAGAATATTCCTTTGATTCAGGTAAATCATCTTTTATGCTCTATTAAAATATAAAAACGTTCCTCTTATAAACTATATTTTTTCATTGCATAATATGCTGTTCTTTAGATTTATCGGACAGAGTTAGAAAATGTTGAAGATTTCAACAACTTTAACGACTGGCTTCATTCCTTCTCGTTGTATCGTGGAAAGAAAACAAGCGAAGAAGATGACGACGAACATAGAGTTGTTGGAAAGTTCAAGGTATTACATCACAAGCCTTGATGCCCGTGAGGAATGCTGGTCTTAGTAGTCATCCCCTGGGAAAATTTCAATAGTGGCCATTTTGAATTGTTTAATTTTCCCGGACGATGACCACTAAGACCAGCATTCCTCGCGAGTATCAAGCCTTGTGACGTCATTATGCATAAGGTCTATTTACGAGTCCGAGTCCACACAGTGCAACGTAGTATAATCCTTTTCGCGAAAAAGATCCTTGAGATCCATAGAGCAAGAAAGAAAAAAAATATAATTGTAAAATAAAGATTCTAACCAATAGAGAGGATATTGCCTGTACTTGTAGGTATGCCCTGCATCGGGAATACAATTATAAGTGCATTCATCTTAATAGTGCAATAGTGTATAAATCTATAGGCGATTACATGATGTAACAAATATTGTATGGCAAATGCATTTTTAGCCAATCTAGGACACTTGATTTTCAAAATTTTCTGGCAGAGCACGGGTCCCCCTGGTGGTGACCTTTTTGGCATCTGTATTTACACCGAAAATTACCGCGGTCCCAGAAAATAAAATATTTTTTCCACCCCTGTTAAGAGGAGTCAAGTCCGACGTATTCAAAACCGAGTCATACCCTTAAGTCCAGATTCCAGTCCTGCAACACTGCAGGCTTGGGACTTAAACATAAAGCAGTCGAATGGAAAGTATAACAGTGTATATTTTTCTTTAGGGATCTTTGAAAGTTTGGCAATGTCCGTTGCCTGAGAACATCGAGACTGATCCCGTTATTGGTACCTTCCGTAAGTTGCCTAGCAACGAGCCAGTCAATGTCTTGGTTCGAGTCTATGTCGTAAAGGTAACATTTTGTTAAATTGAAATAAAATTGGAGTTTTGAGTACAATAGTATGTATGATATGACATGGTATGGTGTTGGTATTGTATGGTGTGGTATATTATTGGTGCAGTATGGTGTGGTTTGGTATTGTATAATATGGTGTGGTATGATATGGAATGGCATTGTATAGTATAGGCAAGGTTTGGTATGGTATGGTATGGTATGGTATGGTATGGTACTATGGTATGGTATGGTACTATGGTATGGTATGGTACTATGGTATAGTACTATGGTATGGTACTATGGTATGGTGTGGTATGCATAATATGATATGATATGGTATGGTATAAAGTATGACATGGTATTGAATGGTCTGGTTGACTGGAGAATATAATTACTCACATTAACCTCTTTCAATAACCACGTTGTATTTGTATTTGTATCTGTGCTTCCAGTTCAATACCATTTTCAATTATTTGATTTTAGCCCGTTTATAATAGAGATATTGCCGCCATGGATCAGTGGATTAAATTTTCATTTGGATGCACTATTTAAAAGACGCGAGAGCCGAGAAGATTTAACTTTTAAATGAAATGCATGCATCGTGCAACAATTATCAAACGATTATTCCAAGCAGACTTGATCTAAATGCTGAAATTCAGCCGGATAACGTGATTTTAATTTTAAATTAAAAGTTAAACTTTCATTTCCACTTTAACTTGAAATTTGTGTGTCTGTTTGATTCAGATCGTGTTACATCGACCATTTAAACCATCCTTCCACTCATTAATGAATTAATCTATATCCGCCCTATTTAATATTAAAGTAGTTTTAACAACCTTGAATTAATAATCTTCTACCTCTTTAAATAGCTTCAGGAAAAAATGGATGTACTTAATGATAGTAGTTCACTAAAACTTGACGTTATTGTTCCCTAACATTCTAACGTACCAATACATGTAATGTTTTGGTTTGTTGTAATAACACATTACATTTGTAGGTACTTAACATTCTAACCTGGTCGTAATACACGTAATGAAATTATGGTTTGGTATAATAATACACTACATTACGTTTACTAAACATTCTAACATACTTGTATAATGAAATGACGGTTTTATTTGTTGATAACATAACTTTATAGGTATTTAAACAAATCTAACCTGGTACCAATTCATGTAATGATAAAGATTTAAACGAAGTTTTAAACAATTAAAAATTATCTTATAGGCATTAAATCTCCATCCTTCTGATCCAAACGGCAAGGTAGGTTTCATTCTCCCCAGTAATCTCGGATAACTGTTCATGCGCCTTCGCTCGTTATTCTAGGCGTATAATCTCCACCCGGCCGATCCACTGGGGAAGGTATGTATTGTTAGCTAAACCCTGCTAGGTGACGAGGTTTTTGGGCTTCATAATAGGTTATATTCTCTTCTTCCTACTCTTTTTGGGGGGTGGGAGGGGGGTTGGTGAGTGTTGTGTTGAGGGTAGTGGTTGGCCATTGTTTCCAGTACAGGCACGCCTTGATTAAAAGACAAATTGATGGTAATTCATTTTGTCCCTGTGAAGGAAAAGTTACTACTAAGAGCAGCCATAGGCGCCTTCGAATTGGTCATGTTGCGTCATTGGTAATTCGGCTTTCAGCTGCAAGGAAGGATGATTAGCATTCTATTTCTTTACGTTTATCTTTATTTTTGTTTTGAAAAGAACTCAGTTGCTCAGATTTTTTAATCAGATGACATCATTGGCAAGAGTCCCAAAGGAATCGATACATACATATTTGTTCTGACTATGACCCCCCTGTAATCTACGGTTATAGTATGATTCTGATTCTGTCTATCTTCTGACTATACCCCCTGTAATCTGCGGTTATACTATGATTATGATTCTGTCTATCTTCTGACAATGACCCCCCTGTAATCTGCGGTTGTACTATGATTATGATTCTGTCTATCTTCTGACAATGACCCCCCTGTAATCTGCGGTTACTATGATTATGATTCTGTCTATGTTCTCAGTTCTCACTATGATTCCCTCAGGCTTGATCCTTCTGCAAAAGGTCGGGAAATGATGTTTGGTTTTCTTCTTCAAACTGATGACGTAATTTTGAAAAACTCTGATAGAGTAAAGTAAGAAACATAGTGAAGGAATTTTATTTTTGCAGGCTGATCCTTATCCTGTGGTAACACTGGGCAAGCAAAAAGTAAAGGATCGTGATAATTACATATCGAAACAGTTGAATCCAATATTTGGAAGGTAAGATGTGACAAAATTTACACTGTCAGATTTCACCTTGGTAAACAGTTGAAATTTGGGGGAAATCCATGTCAGATTTTACCATGGTGTTTAATTTCTAAACAGTTGAAATTCGGGGGAGATCTATGTCAGATTTCACCATGGTGTTTAATATCTAAAAAGTTGAAATTTTGGGGGAGACTTATGTCAAGTTTCACGCAGAGCAAACATACTGCTGTATATAATTAATTATAAGGTATATTTACAAAATCAGTATATTTCCCAGTTTCATTAAATTGCCAGAAATTTTTTTTCTTCTGGCTAACATCATACTCCTATGGTAGAGAGTGGTCTATTTTTTCTCAAATAAAGCTTTTACCTCCCCAATATATTTTTGTGATGTTATTTGTAATTAGTTAATAATATTATTCTATTTAGAACGTTTGAGTTCGAGGCTCTGATTCCCATGGACTCTATACTTACTGTTGGTGTGTATGACTGGGATTTAGTGGGCAGTGATGATTTGATTGGAGAAACTAAGATTGATTTGGAAAATCGCTTCTACAGTAAACATCGAGCTACATGTGGCTTGCAGGAACAGTTTGCGACGTAAGATATTTTTTAACAAATTGGTGGATTTGGTTACATCGTGGCCAGGGCTCCTGTGGGGTCTATGAAGGGCCTCTATATCAGCAGGGTCTATGCAGGGCCCCTGGATACCAGCAGGGGTCTATACAGGGCCCCCTGAACCACTGTCGTTGAATGGCACCCTGCCTACATAAAGTCACTTCTTCTAAATGTTCACACTTCTGATAGTTAAGCTATTGGAACAAGTTATACTAAAGCCGGACAGCGCTAGCCACTGGTTTGTGTATATTTGTGCACGTCTGGGGCCAGTTATAGCAAGCCCGTTTAGCGGTGGTTAAGCTCAAAATAGAAAGCAAATCTATAGATTCATTAACAACCAAACTAAAAGTTTTTAACCTTAATAGAACAATAATGTTTACTACTAAATATCCAGTGCACAATCAGTTCACGAGAGATATAAGAGTGTTATTAAATTTTAACTTATCCATCGTTTGAGCTAAACGGGCTTGATACAACCGGCCCCTGTTTATTATTAAGTAAATTTTTCAACACGAATTTGAAGATTTTGCTCTATCTCTATGTTGAATATAACACTCAACTGCTCTATATTCTAGATTTGGTTTTAATAAATGGCGAGACCCACAACGTCCCACTCACATTTTGGCCAAGTTGTGTAAAGACGAAGGATTAGATGGTCCGCATTATAATAATGGTAAAGTGCAAGTTGATGGTATCACTTTTCGAGCTCCGGGACAGATCCAAGATGAATCTGGTGAGTTGGTAACTATTTTTTTATGGGGGGAGGGGGGGAGGGGACGTTTTTAAACTGGATCGTCGTCATGCATGTTTTAGATTTTTGTTACACTAAAAATAAAAATACAAATTGGTATTGCTTTCTGTCTGAACTGGATGACAAATAGCAAGAGGATAGTGCTTCTTACCTCCTGTTGAACAGTACTTTTTGTGTCAGCACTCGTGTATTACGTTTAAATGCTGGTTTACAATATCAAAGTTTTTGTGATCACAGTAGGAATTTTGCACAGGTAAATTCTAAGTTTTGAAGAATTTGTAATAAATATGTAATGGAAGTTACGCCTGTTTTCTAAAAGCTCACTCACACTCAAAGAGTGGAGGTTCAATCTGAACTTCTCTTGAGTGTCAGTGCTGTTTTTGACAGTAACCACATAGTAAGGTACGACACTAACCTTCAGCTATTCAAAAACAGCACTGACACCCAAGGAAAGCTCAGATTGAACCTTCGCTCTTTGAGTGTGATTGAGATTTTAGAATACAGGCGTTAGTGTTGAACAATGAGTTATTTCACTCAAAAAAGTCTTACAAATCCTTCAAAGTATAGAATTTGCCAATGCAACATTCCTATAATGTAATCACAGAAACTTTGATATTGTATACCATCCTTAATAAAGCACTCTGATTCCTGGTGATCTGATGTTCGACGACTTGCGTATTGCCCTATATTCTTTCACGAGGGTGGGTTGCAATAAGCATGGGGTCAACCAAGGCTTTTTATCTTCGCCAGGTGTCAAATTAATCTTGTGTTTTTCAGGTAATTGGAAGCAGTCAGATGAACCAGCTGCGTTAATGGTTCTACGAAACATGGAGAAAGTAATGAAAGGACATCATCTGGTTCCTGAACATGTCGAAACGAGATCTCTGTATTGTCCTGATAAACCCGGAGTGGAACAGGTTTGAAAAATAAAAACATTTCATCTTGTATATACATCTAATTATGTGTACGTTCAGTAACCAGTTAAACATTTAAATTTATCCAGTCAGGACATATTTCATAGATACTGAAAATACGCCGGTTGCACGCTCATGTTGGTTGAAATCAAGGCTGTAGTACTATTTAAGCGCCATGGTCGAAATAATTTGAAACCTGTGTAAACTGTATATGTCTGTATATGTACTGTACTGTCTTGCTATGCAATTTGATGAGTTTTTCGAAAGACAAGCGTAATTTTAATGTTCTATCTTTTAAATTAACTTCCAATAAGCTTTAACGAACTGTATGTTACTTTCTTGTCTAGGGTCAAGTTGAAATGTGGGTAGATATGTTTCCAAGAGACATGCAATCTCCTGGTGCACCCGTCGATATCACGCCAAGAAAACCCACCAGGTACATGCAGGCGTTGTAATGATAAATAAATGTATCTTGTATCATCCGATCAATCATCTGGTAATCAAATTTAGCACCATTCACACTCTTCAAAAAGTGATTCCTTTTTACTATCCGCACACATGTTAGACCATGGATTATTAATAGACTATTTATAATCCACGGTCTGACATTCCTCACAACCGTCGGCTTACTAGGTCTCATGCCCTTATTTTTTCTTCATCTGCCTCTCTTTTCATGGCGTTTCGTACGGTGTTTTGTCATTACTTTGTATACAATCAGCGGGCTTACAATTGGATTAGCACTGTGCATAGACTTTGTTTCTTCTACATTAAACAACATGTTTATCTTTGTCTCTGTTTTCTGATGGAGTATCGTCGCTCAAAACGTCGAGAATTGGCCGACGAGTACTATCATCTGTTATTTGCTTCTCACTTTCATTAACTTTTGATAGTTTTATTTCTTATAGTATAATTCGCATAGTATAAACTCCTAACATGTATATACTCTATCTCTAAAATCCCGTGTCCTACAACTATTTTCGCGCCCTTTTCGTTCGTTCCCAGTTTTCCCTGTCCGAG